CAATCAATTATTCATATGCTGGGTTATTAATATCATTCAGAATTTATATAATACACATGCTTTTTTAAAAGCCTGAATATAGATAGGCATAAGCCAGTCGCAAAGGCAACAAGTTGCCTTTGGAAGGCTTAGGCTAAATGACAATAGCCTGTGTGGTTCATAAGAGCACAATATTGATACCGAGTGTCCCATAAGGATTATGTAATGTTCACTTTCAATTTTTGCTTGCAGCAAAATACAGGTACCACATAAATTCCTATACCAGATATTTTAGCTTATTCCAGAAACAAATAAACATCTCTTCTAACACTGAAATGTGAAGTCTTTGAAAGCAGCTGGAATAAAGGGTACAGAATGCATTCTCTACTCAAATCCAACAAAATCCTAGAACCTCAGTACTCCTTGCACAAGGAACAGCATCTAACATGCCATGGCAGAACACATACCACAGTATGCTTTAGGCATGCTTTCCATTTGCTGGTTTTTGTTTACTTGTTTGTTTGTTTACTTCTTCATGGAAACATTTCTAATGAGAAACTTGATGATGAATGCAATGCCCAAGACTTGTCTGTGTGCTAAAATTGTATCACTTGTGCATGACCTGTTGACCTGTTCAACTTTTAATTTTGTGCTGCCTTACCATACAGTACCTCCTTAGAAAGGCCCCCCTCCCTGGCATACTTGCATTTATAGTCAGCATCACTTGCAGGAGCTGCCTATGCTGTATTCTGTCAGTTCTTATGTGAAATGTTGCCTCTTCTTCCCAGGTAAACATGGAGATCACTGAAGACAGATCTACTGAACTCACTTATAATTCTTTTTATCACAAACTTCCCTGAAATACTGCAAGTCTTTCTAAACATTTCACTGGTAACCAGTGAGCCACTCTACAGAGAGGCCACTGTACGGCATTCTGCATCACTTAAGTGTTCAAGTGATTAACAAAGGGTTCTTTTCCTTATTTAAGAAATTTTTTATTCATTTTACATACCAACCACAGATCCCCCTCTCATCCCTCCTCCTGCTCCCTCAAAGTCTCCTCCCCCACATCAACTCCGCATGCCCTCCTCCAAAAGGGTAAGGTCTTCCATGGGGAATAAGCAAAGCCTGGTACATTCAGTTGAGGCAGAACCAAGCTCTTCCCCACTGCATCAAGGCTGAGAAAGGTATCCTACCATAGGTAATGGGATTCAGAAAGCCAGCTCATTGACCAAGGATAGATCCTGACCCCACTGCCAGGGTCCCTCAAACAGACCAAGCTATACAACTGTCTCCCGTATGCAGAGGGCCTAGTTCCATGCAGGTTCCACAGCTGTAAGTCTAAAATTTGTGAGTTCTTAGGAGCTTGGTTCAGTTGTCTCTGTAGATTTCCCCATCATGATCCCCCTTGCTCATAAAATCCCTCTTCCCTCTCTTAGATTGGACTCCCAGAGCTCAACCTGGTGCTTGGCTGTGGATCTCTGTGCCTGCTTCCATCATTTATTGGATGAAGGCTTTATGATGACAGAATATTCATCACTGATTACCTGGGTAGGCCAGTTCAGGTACCCTCTCCACTATTGCTAGTAGTCTAAGCTGGGGTCATCCTTGTGGATTCCTGGGAATTTCCCTAGCACGGGGTTTCTCCCTATCCCCATGGTGTCTCCCTCTATCAAGATATCTCTTTCTTGAACTGTTTCCTTTACCTGTCAGATTGCTTTTTCTTGGCTTTCTTTCTTGACTTTCTTTATGGGATTTGTTGATTTCTTCCAATTTTTTTTGTCTTTACCTCAATTTCTTTTAGGGAATTTTTCATTTCCTCTTTAAAGGCCTCTATCATCTTCATAAAGTCATTTTAAGGTCGTTTTCTTCTGCTGCTTCTACATTGAGATGCTCAGTTCTTGCTGTTATAGAACCACTAGGTTCTGGTGGTGCCATATTGCTCTTTATGATGTTGAATATATTCTTGCACTAGCATCTATCTATATCTTCCTCCAATTGGTGAAAGTGGTATCTGTGTCTCAGGGAACTGTTCTTTGCCCAATCAGCACTGGAGGTGTTTGTATCTCAGGGAACTTCTGAGGTCCTGGGAGATGGGTGGGTTTGGGGAACAGAATGGGACTTGTAGATTTCAGAGTACAATGAGTGGTGATGGTGGGCAGGCATGCCCACAGGAGTCTTGCTTGCTGGTCTGAAGCTGGGCCTGCAATGGGTGGGGATGGGGGGACACAGACTGTACCCTGGGGACCAGGGCTTAGAGACTTAGTGACCAGTGGGAGAACAGTCACTCACCTCTTGGTCCAGTCTGAGCTGGCAGAGTCTGTGTCTAAGGAAGGGCTCTTTAACTGCAAAGTGCACCATACCATGGATACCAAGGTGTTCATACACAGATTGTCTCTGAGGGGTTACCTTATAACAGGAAGAATAATTCAGTTTCATATATAATTGCAATCCAAGTGGGAATGCAATGCATGATTAAATAACAGTTTCAAAACCCCTATCTGTGCACTAAGTAAACTCAAGTTGACCAGTAAAGGACAGGAGAGTCTCAGAATGAAAAAGTATACAGAAAACCAGTGCCTGGAAGTGTAAGGAATCCACACAGGACAATGGAAATGAAATTGAAAGACTATAATAAATGATTTTCATTAATTTTGAAATACAGACATGGCAAACAGTGAAGGATACTGAGTTTTAGTAGTTAGGTTTTTTCTCTGAGCTGTGTTGTTACTGTTGCTGTTGTTTGTTTTTGTTTTGCTTTATTTTAATTGGTGGTTTGGGGAAAGTTTTACCAGAATATAAGATAAGATAAGATAAGAAGGCTCTGCAATAATTAAATCTTAACTTGCCCAATAGTTTCAAGACTAAGCACTGGACACAGAAAGGAGACAGTGTGTGCGAAATTCTACAGAATGATTGCAATACATATGCATCATCCCTCAGTACGCTCTCTGATTTTTTCCAAGGACCAACATTTGAGATAACAAATATGCCATGACTTTGTAAGGAAAAAAATGTTTTCAGTTTCTAGGAGCTCACAACCCCCCCCACCCACACACACACACAAACAAGAAAACTGAAGAATTGATTTACTGATATCTTTCATGCAAGTTTAAAAAAATGTACTAAAATAATGCAAAAATGTGTGCTAAAATGAATGTTTTATACTACATATGGAGTTGAACACTCCAAAACAAATTTCAATGAATCAGAAATTTATATCACAAAAGAAATTTTCCATAGGCCAATAAAAGTTTAAAGGCATAACAACATAGCTATCCTCTTAATTTAATTATACACAGTATATATATATATATATATATATATATATATATATATATATATATATATATATATATAGGAAAGGCAGGCATTCTGAGAATGCTAAGTAAGGCAAACAGTACAACATACTAAGAATATATACGATTTTCCAAAGAACTATTTTAGTATAACAAAATCCACATGACCTTTTATGATAGTTCCATTCCTTATCTTTTTGTCTAGCAGCTCATTCATAACTTTAAATCTGTTCTATTGTTTTGTACTTAGCATATATGATTGTGGTATCATATATTTTTAATATATAAATGGGGGATTATTCTGTCCATTTGTGTATGTGTAAGTGTACATGCTTATCTGAGTGCATGTATGTGAAAACCAAAGCCTACCTTTCTCAGTTGTTATCCATGTTATTTTTTGAGACAGAGTCTCTCAATGAATCAGAAAATTGCTGATTTAGACTGATGGATTAGCCAGCAAACCCTAGGGATCCTCCTGTCTCTACTTTCCATCACTGGGATGGCAGGTGCTTGATGCTGCTTCCAGCTTTTGGCATGGACACTTGGGATCCAAACTGAAGTCTCCATGCTTGTGAAATAAGCCTTTTACTCAATGAATCATTCCTCTAGCCCACCATCTTACACTATGGTAGGACATGGAAGGATTAGAATTTTGTTTCAGGTAAGATGAAAAGAGAGGGGAGTGTGACTCTAAAGCCAACATGCTAACCTACAAAGCAAAATAATATGAACTGGAAAAAAAAAACAGTCAAAGCCAAGAAAAATATTAAAATTGTCAAAGGAAAACTTTTCATAAATGAGATATAATATTAACTGGTTAAGCTAGATCATTTTTCATTTGTATTGATCAATGTAGTGGCAATAATATGCACAGTCCAAATTCTGCTTATGTAGCATATCTTTCTTCACTTAATATTTTGTGGTAGCTGGGTATGCATGTGAGAAAGTTGTTGCTTAAGCAAACATGACATAGTTGGTGGAGTTGCTATGAGTATGGTTCCTGAAGACTTCCATGTTGGCAGGGAAGACATACACATTCAGCTAATCAACTTAGTCCTGAGGCCACACAAACATATACATGTGGATATATAGACAGCTATGGATCCAGGTAAGGTTCATACAGATAATTCTAGTCATTCAGATTGATGTGGGGTATTAGGATATAGTAACATAAGAGAAAAGTTCTGGACTTCTGTATTGAATAATGGGGTGAGTATGGGCAACACGCCACTGGACATTACAAAACTAGGAGAAAGGATTTAAAGTGCTTTAGCCATAAAGAAGTGATAATCCTAATATGGTTATGCCTCCTTCTTATCTCACACTTCAGGAAGCAGAAATAAGAGGATGACCAGTTCAAGGCCAGCCTGAGCTACCTAGAAAACCCTTTCTCAATAAGCTTTAATAAGTAAATAAATGAAAAGATAAATGCTTAACCTGATGCTGTAATGAAACCTGCTAGCTTGTATGCTAACCTAAAAATTAATTAAAAGTGAAAAGTTACACAATATATAAGTGCATCAAAGCATCACGTGATACCCTACTAACACAAACAACTTATGTGTTTCAGTTTTGAAAAATTAAATTTAAAAATATTCATTGACACTACTGCCCAGATGTGAAACCATACGAGTTTATAGCCTTTAATCATTTTTAAGTCTCTTGATCTTAGGGTCAGTCTGAAGATGTCTTGAAACAAAAAATATTTGTATAGGGCGGGAAGGTTGTAGTGCAGAGCATCGTTGTGCTCTTGCAGGGTTCTGCGTGGGCGCGCCCCTCCTGCACAACCACGACCCGACAGCGAGGTTTCTCGGGGCTCCTCGCATCCAGATGATTGTAAAGTGCTGATTAGTGGCCACTGAATAGAATTGAAACAGAATAGCAAGATGGCAGCAAATCCTTCAGGACAAGGTTTTCAAAATTAAAACAGAGTTGCGATTTTGGCTGAACTGGACAAAGAGAAAAGAAAATTACTTATGCAGAACCAATCTTCAGCAAGTCACCCTGGAGCTAGCATCTCCCTCTCCAGACCCTCTCTTAATAAGGACTTTCGGGATCATGCTGAGCAGCAGCACATTGCAGCCCAGCAGAAGGCAGCTCTGCAGCATGCTCACGCACATTCATCCGGATACTTCATAACTCAAGACTCAGCGTTCGGGAATCTCATTCTCCCTGTTTTACCTCGCCTTGACCCAGAATGAAGACGGCGTCTGAATAAAGGGAACTCATACTATCCAGTGGCAGAGCTCTCATTCAGCTCTGTACAAACTGACTTTGGAATTTTGGAGAACTTAGTTTTTGTTTCTTTAAAGAAAGGAATAAGTGAGTGAGAAAGAAGGGGAGCTGGGATGCTGAGGACTTTGGAAACTCTATGACTGGCAGAGTTGGGGGTGCTGGCCGTGACTACATTTTTTGTATTACCATTTAACTCTTCACTCTCAGACTCAGAATCGCTTAGTTTCATAAAATCTGCATCACGTTCAACAAGTCGGACTGAATGTCTCCTGCGTGAAGCCCTGGGGTTGACCCCAGCACCACACAGACAAGCTCTGATGCGCAGGCCTGTAATCTCGGCTTCGAGAAACACGGGCGGGGGGATGAGAACTTCAAAACCGTCCTTGCCTAGGTAGTGATTTTGAGACCAGTCTGAGGATATAAGACTGTGCCTCAACACACACACACACACACACACACACACACACACACACACACACACACACACACACACACACACAAACACACACACAAACAAACAAAACAAAACCGAAAGAACCATGTATAGTCCTAACGTTAGAGAAACGAGGATGCTTTTTAAAAATGAAATCAGCCGGGCGGTGGTGGCGCACGCCTTTGATCCCAGCACTCGGGAGGCAGAGCCAGGCGGATCTCTGTTCAAGGTCAGCCTGGGCTACAGAGTGAGATCCAGGACAGGCGCAAAGCTACACAGAGAAACCTTGTCTCAACCCCCCCCCAAAGAAAACAAATGCAAACAGCAGGCTTACATCACAAACATCTGTGGTTTCTGTGCTCAGAAGTTATCCAGAAGTATTCGGAGTTGATAACTAGTTCTCCTACTCGGAATTTTAAAAGAAAATTACAAATAAGACTCAATTACCAACCAATCTTAAATCGTTTTCAAATAAATGCTATTATAAATGATGTGACTAAATACTGTTATAAAAAACAACTAAGTAATATGGTGCCTTTAAATGTAAAAAAAATTGTATTATTAATTAACTATGTCTGAGAAACACAAAAGGAGATTTTGAATGTGGCATTAAAATTAAGGGTTGTAGAGGTGTAGACACACAAATGCTTGTGTAGCAATGGTTCATGGAAAAAGAGGCCATGGATCCGAAAGGAACAAGAAGGGGTGTGTGGGAAGGTTGAAGGATGGAAAGGGAAGGGAGAAATGATGTAATTCCATTGTAACCTCAAAAAATAAAAAGTGCACCAAAAGTACACCCTTTGTTTTACAGATTAAAGGTATCATTAATTTTCTTCTTTCAATGACTCCTGTCTATGCTTTTCCCTTTTTTAAAATAGATTTTTCTCTCATATAGCTTCCTATAAATCCAGGAGAGAACTGGCCCTAACTAATACAATGTCCACTAAAACTAATCTACTTTCCTCTTAGGAGTCCCTTACACAAAAAGTAGGCATGCCTATTGTCTGCTTCTTACACAAAATTGTGTGTCTGTTGAATTGTGTAAAATATTACATAGTCACCTGAACTAATTTATCCTGTTCCAAAAATAAGCTCATAATATCTTCATTCAAGTTGTTTATTAATTATAGGTACTTAATTTGTAATGAATAGCCCTTCAATTGTACCTGGAAAACAGATTATCAAACTATGTCTTAAGCACTCACAGGCAGAAATAAATAAAGCTCTCCCTGAAATTAAGTATGCTTTGTAACTAAATGTGAAACTGAGAAAAATTATTTTCTTTTAATTATTTATTCTTGATTATTTCTGATATCAGAGTAGGATTGCATATCGACTTCCTCAGAATTGCGTTTAATGAACCTATCAAAGGGTTATTTGTTAGTTCACTACCATTTATAAAAGAGTTTCTCAACATACATAGTGTAAGATGGAATGCAATCACAGACAAGAATTGAATAAAAAGACATGACGCAATCTAACACAAGCCTCCAAGAACGAGGCAAAAGACAAATTTAAACTTGGAGAAACAGCCAAGAAATTATAAGAATAAGCTTAAGTGTACTTCCTTTAACCAAAAGAATGGTCAGAAATAGTATAAAAATCTCTAAACTCCTAATTCTAAACTAAAAATTGAGTTTAAATTGCTTCAAATATGAGAATATGTGAATTTACAATAGACTGAGGAAGACAGTCAGTGCCTTGCACCTGGACACTTTCTGGCATCTGTAGACTCTACAGTGTAGAGCCTCATTTGTATAGCAGTTCTTATATCTCACCGCCACCTAGCCAAGATGCTACTCACTGAGTGCATAGCTGTTGCTCAAACTGAAGAGAGAGGAATCCACTTCTGACAACAACATGATTACATTAAAATAAACCATAGTGACATTGTCAGTGTAGGGGAAAATGCACAGTGTACTTGATTAAATTATGTAATTGCTGTTTGCAGAGTCAAGGAGGCCCGCAGGTGGGGATGTGGGCATGCACACATAGGTGTATGATCAGAATCTTTTTTCCAGTCTAAGGAATCTGCATACAGCCTTGACAGATATATATTAACACCAATATTTATCAATTTCCAAAATTTAGTGAAGTATGCTTAATATGCACTGTATTTGACACATTTACTGAAGACATCTTGATGAGTTTGGACCCATTCATGCTTTATCAAGAGCATTGCCATAATAAATATTCTAAACATTTACACTTTTCATAATCACGACTCTTTGTTGTTCTTTTCTGCTTTGCTTTATGGTGAGAACACTAGACATAAGATCTATGGTATGGACATAGGGTGAAGTTCACAAAATATAGGTTAACTACAGGTTCTGTGTTAGATAGTCAATCCTGATATTCATCTTGATAACTGAATGTAATTTTTCTTCTTGTCTCCTAATTATGATGGCAGCTTATCTAGGTGACAGAATTCTACAGAATAGCATGAGTTTTTTGTCTCCTTGGAAAAGTAATGACAAGATGTTTTAATTTTTCATTTTTATATTTTATAAAATAATTAAGTACCTCATTCTCCCCTTTCCCTCTCCTCTTTCCAACTTCCCCCATGGATTCTCCCCCACCCCATCCCCTCTCTCTCTCAATTCTATGACCTCTGACTTTTTTTTTTCTAGGTTTGATTATCTGCAGGATGTGTTTTAAACCCAGAGATGTGATACCTAGGCCACACAAATCATGGAAAATTTACTACTGCACCAAGACAGGCTCTTGCTGTCAATTTTCTCTGAAGATTCTACTAAGATAATCCAAAACCTTCTAGCTAATTATATCAATAACTTTCAAGGAAGGAAAGTCACACAAGAGCTTGAAAGCAAGCATGCAGAAAGAAGGGAAAAACACATTCAGACTAGGATCACTGAGTGCAGAAATGCTGATCATGACAGAAATATGCAAATCAGTAAAAAATTCAATGGGGAGTCGTTTTCCTTTCTTTCCTCCTCATGCTGAGAACATTTCTTTTTCCAAATATCATGGTCACCAGAGGTTGGAGACCCACTAAAAAGCACATTTCAGCACAATTATATATATGTCAAATCTTGCTGCAGAATGTGGGCTGGTCTTTGGGTGTATTGATATCTTTGAGAAAGGATGCGTGCTAACAAACAGCCCATACTGGTGATGCAAGTTAATTGCATCATTATGTTGTGATAAGACAATGCAATTAGCACATCTCAATGTACAGCGATCTCAGGGTGGGTATCCAATTAACTCAGGTCAGTAGCCTCCTTGTTGGATAGGGCTTTCAGTCTGTTCCCAAGATGACTTCACACAGTTGTCTCTCCCCTGAAGTGCAAGGAAACTTTCCAAAGAAATAAGGCAATTTTGAAAAGGTTAGAGGAAAACACATGTCTCCACTCGATTTAGAGAGTGCTGTTCTGGCAGACCTCTTCCATTGAGTTGTGGAAATATTTTATAAATTGGACAGAATGGCTAAAATATGCAAATGTGTTTCACGTTTTTCCATAAGCATCTTGTTCACTGATTACATGAAAGCCTCATTCACTGATTACATGAGGACATTAGTGCTGACTATAGTCTCAGAAATATTAGAAGGCAGGAAAATCACATTTGATAAAGGTGTATTCAAAACCGAGATTAGCAGACCATCAAAAGCACAGAGAAAGCCAAGCATGTAATTTTAGAAAATGTGAAATGTTTTCAAAAACTTATCAAGTAGATAGGTTTCTATATACAAAGAAAAGTGGTAATGTCATAGATACATCCTTTTTTACAAAAATTCATTTGATATCCTGAATTAAAAAAAAAAGCAGCACTGAGCAGAAATATTAAAGTAGTCAACATTTATTGTTGTTGGTATCAACTCCTCCAACAGAAACTGGGGACGAGTTTTGTAATTACCTAGGACTTACCAACTGCCTTTCTGAACATGTGTCATACCACAACATAATCATTTCTAAAACTGTTCCACAACGATGTAAATTACTTAGAAATAGGGAACATGTCCAAGCTTACCTTAATCCCAGCTCACCTTCATCTATCATCTATCACTCTGTCATCTATCATCAAGTTAGTTTCCAAGAAAAAAATGGTTGAAAAACACAAAATGTATAAATATCATTGCAAAAAAATCCATTATTTATCTCACTACTCGGATATTGGTCTTTTGCACTTATTTCAAAAGAGACTATTTATAAGTTTATATAGCAGGCAGATTAAAAGAATGCTATAATAATGCTGACTCTTACATAAGTGGAATATTCTTCTGGTTTATCATAATAAAAATGTTGCCAGTTGGAGAAGCCATGAAATAGAATTGAGCATAGCCAGAAAATTTGATATAGATCCTGGGAGAAGTTCTGGGCTAATAGACTGAACACAGCACCCAAGTACAAATCCAGATAATTCACTACTATTGGCATTCCTAGTGTGTGAAATATGAAACTAAATAATGTACACTTACAGAAGAATAATGCCTGAATCTTTAATAATTTTGGGGGGAAGGGGTACTAAACTGGCATTTAGATATAGGCCTCTCAGTCTTTAATCTAGGCTTTGGTAAATTCAGGCAAGTGCCTGGTGTTGTGGGATGGTCTTTCTGTATGCTTTGAGTATGTGTTGCTCTCATTGGTTGATAAATAAAGTTGTTTGGTCAATGGCAAGGTAGAATAAGTTTAAGTGGTACTAT